CAATAACTATGGAGTTGCATTGACATATTTCACTTAATCCCAAACCTCTAGGATCAAAGTCGACATAAAAGGCACAATACATTTCTAGATTTGTCTTCCCACACAATACCACAAATTCAACTGCACAATCATCATAATATTGTTGATTCTTAATCTCAATTAAATGTTCTTGTTTAGCTTTATTAGTAATATCAAAAACAAATTGATCTTTATCTTGATTACCCATATTATCTTTCACTTTTTGACATTCTTGTAGCAACAAACTTTCAACAAATTTATTCTCTACAAATAGTTCATTTTCTAAGTATTTCTTAAACTAAATTTTAGACCCAATGTATATAGTTTCCAATGAAAACCCATTCAAGTTATTATTTTTAGTAAAGAAGTTAGAGCATTGATCAACATTATCACCTATCTCATCAAACCCCACACAATTAATCAAATCGGTAGCTATAGGTAATACCAAATTATTTTAACTTCGATTCTTGATGAGTTGAGGTAGTTGAAGATTCAAGAATCTTATTTTCAAGAGTGTCCTCATTCTTGAAGACCGAATGCTCGCTTCAAGAGTTCAAGATTCTATTAAAGTCTTTCTTGAATGTCGTGAATTAACTCCTCCATTTAGGAGTATTCGTTTAGTTATTCGGTTCGGTTTTGAAATATTTTGGATAGTTCTCAATGAACCAAATTTTCAAAAAATAAAAAAATAAATAACCGAAACCAAATCAAAATGTTATTCAGCTTTTTAGTTTTGTTGCGAAATATTTTGATTTTGGTGTTCGGTAATTTGGTTTTTACTAATATTATTTTTTTTCTATAAATGGTTGATTCTATTAAAGTTTTTGAAATCTCTGTTTAGAGTGGGTTTCTTTCTGCTTTGTTGACTACTAGCTAGAAAACGAAGTTGCACCAAAAAGAAAAAAAAAGAAATGCGTTAATAAATAAACAAATAATAAATTATCTACTCAACAAGACTTGAATTGGAGACGATAGAAAATCTACTAATGTTTTTGCTATTTTGTGTACATCCAAACTTATAGCGAGAGATAAAAAGAACATGTACAAGGTCGTGGGAGGAAGTGCATACGGGGGAGAAGTGTTTTTTAATTTAAGGGTGTAGTGAGTGATGTAACTTTATATATATATATATATATATATATATATATATTAAAAATTTCAATTTTTTGGTTAATCAATTTTTTTAAAAAAAATGAACTCGAACCCGAAAACCAAAATTATTTTGGTTTTTTTTTTAATTTCTAAAAAAACTACACTAAAATTGAGATTTCGGTGTGGTTCGGTTCGATTTTCACCGAATAGTGAACACCCCTACCTCTATTGTTGTCTCGCTTAAGAAAATTCAATTATTTGGCCTCTATTATTAATGACTCCTTACTTTCTTTTGTTTCTTTATTTTCCAAATAGAAAAGGATTGCTCCACTAATATCATCGATTACAATGATTTGGGTCCAAAATAGCTTCTTGTAATTGATTTCTCTATGATATTCATCATTACACCAAAAACAAAGATCATGAATATAACTTCTCTCATTCAACTCAAAAATAGTGAAATGCCTAACTAGGGTTTTTGCCATTGATACCAATTTATGTAAATGCTCTAATTGACACCAAAATTTAACATTCCATAAGTGACAAGAATTGTTGCGCTACCAATTGATGTAATTCCTATTTCCACAGTGAAGAATTAAAGAAAATTTGTAAGATTCTAGTAATTGAAATGAATAAAAAACTTTTATTTAAGAACCGAATCAACACTACAAATCCACAATGCAAGTTTACAGGAAAACACGGAATAAGAAGAAGAAGAAGAAGAAGAACATAAACAATATAGAGAGAAATTATAGAGAGAATAACCACTTTCTAAGAATGATTCTCTAATTTTCTCTCTTCTTTCCTTAATACTATTAAAATTGTTACGCTAACGATTAGGCTAATAACAATTTTAACTAATAATAGACACCCACCTCATCATTTTAACAACTCACACGTGTTTAACATTCCTCTTCGTTATCTTATGTGTCATCCATATGTCTTTATTGCTAATTCACATTCTCGACATAATTCTATACTAATTGCCTTTAGGAACCGCAACCTCGTAACCCTAGAACCCATTTCCATCTAACTTGCATCAATACCCCTTACTCAAGAGACCTTGTCCTTAAAGTCACAAGGAGGAAAATATCCCTTTTCATCATTTTACGATCAAGGATAACGACTAAAACCATAAGATTGTATAATGTCATAGGAAGTTACCCATGAACTTCAAGTACCTTATTACATCTAGACACACCAACGAAGCCTCGGGAATTACAAGCTTGGTAAGTATGCCCTCCGCTCGTCACTCAACCTTATCGAGCTCTACTATTGTGTTTACTAAAGAATTATACCCATCAATATCAAATAATAGAACTAAAAAATTTCTTAGCTTTTTAGACTTTTCAATACCAGTCTTATTGGTTTATGACTCATTTGTAACCAACTCCCATATTGTTTCACTCATATGACCAATTTGGCCAAAACTATCATTTTTGCAGTCATTGATTGACTTCTTTGGCTCTAAAGTTGGAGTTTAAAGAGCCACAGTTTCCATCAAGTTGTCAACAAACCCATTTGGCAAATAGTCCACTTCAAGAAGCTAATTAACAACTACGTTATTTACTTTAAGTAACCATATGAGATCTATCTAGCTTATAAAATGAAACTCACCTCATATGAGATTAAAATTCACTATTAGAAAGTTGGTCACCCTTTCTTTAGTCTCTAACCACAAGCACAAGGTATTAATAACCACACAAGACTACTTTATTATTTGCACGAAAATGTCCATCTTGTGGTGTTGATAGCTTGAAAAATTTTAAACCATTGACTTTCTACATCCAAGCATAAAATCTCTACCAACTAATCATGGTTTATCTATTTACCGATTGTACTCTAGCTCAAGTAAACCCATAACCTAATTTTCAACGTTAAAATTTACAAACATAAGAGTTTAACAACTGAATTTATTAGATGCTACAATAATTATGAATTTCGATCTACATACTTCACTTAATCTCCAACCTCTAAGATCAAAGCTAATATAAAAGGGACAATATCTTTTTAGATTTATCTTTTGCCATATAATACCACAAATTGAACTCCACAATCATCTCAATATTGTTGATTTTTAATCTCAATTAAATGCTATCATTTAGCTTTATCGGTAATATAAAAAACAAATTGATCCTTATCTAGATTAACCACATTATCTTCCATTTTTTGGCAATCTTATAGTAACAAAATTTTAACAAATTTATTTTCTATAGATAGTTCATTGTCCAAGTATTTCTTAAACTAAATTTCGACCCAATTTATGTAGTTCCTAATGAAAATATATTCAAGTTATGATTTTTAGCAAAGAATTTAGAGCATTTATCATCTTTATCACCTAATTCATCAAATCCCACACAATTAATCAAATCGAAGTTCCGAGCAATACCAAATTATTCCGACCTAATTCTTGATGAGTGGAAGTAGTTGAAGACTCAATAACCTTGTTTTTACGAGTGTACTCATTCTCCAATACTAAAGGTTACTTCAAGAGTTCAAGATTCTATTGAAGTCTTTCTTAAATGCTATGAATTGACTCCTCTATTGTGTCTTCTTAAAGAAATCCAATTCTTTGGCCTCTGCTATCAATGACTCCTTACTTTCTTTTGTTTCTTTATTTTCCAAATAGAAAAGGATTGCTCCACCAACATTATCTCGTTACAATGATTTAGGTCCAAAATGACTTCTCGTAATCGATTTCTTCATGATATTCACCATTACACCAAAAACAAAGATCATGATATAACTTCTCTTGTTTAACTTGGAACTGGTGAAATACCTTACTAGGGTTTTTACCATTGATATCAATTTATGTAATTGCTCTAATTGATACCAAAATTTAACATTCGACAGGTGTCAAGAATTGCTTCGCTATTACTTAATGTAATTTCCAGCTTCATAGCGAAGAATTAAAAAAAAAATTAGCAAGATTCTACTAATTAAAATGAATGAAAAAATTTTATTCAAAAATTAAATCAACACTACAAATCCGCAATGTAGGTTTACAAGAAAACATAGAATAAGAAGAAGAAGAAGAAGAACATAAAAAATATTGAGAGAATAACCACTTTTTAAGAATGACTCTCTAAACTTCTCTCTTCTTTCCTTAATACTATTGAAATCAATACGCTAACTATTAGACTAAAAATAGTCCCGAATAACTAATAATAAATGCCCACCTTATCATTTTAACAACTCACATGTGTTTAATATTCTTCTTTTTTCATCTTATGTGTCATCCACATGTCTTTATTACTATGTCACATTCTCTACATAATTCTCTCGCCAATTCCCACCGACAATTATAACCTCGTAACCCCGTAACCCATTTTTTTTAACTTGCATCATTGATCCATCTCATGTTAGAAATCAAAATAGAAGCTTCGGATAAGCATTTGCTATTTATGAATAAATTTTAAAAAAGAAAGCTTTAGAGATGGATAGAGTGCAAAAATTGACTACCATTTTGAAGGAAGCACCTAATTTATTGATTTCAATATGACTTGTTAATTTCTTGAGGGTTTGATTTGAAATTATGGGCATCCATTTTAAGTTTTGTTGTTTTAAATTTTAGTTGTTAGATTAAGGTTCTACATTTTAATGTTTGTTAGGCTCGAGTCTCGATTTGTCAAGGAAATTGTTGGAGATGTTTTGAGTAAATTACATAAAAATTATTCTTCAAATTATTGTGGGTGTAACTTAGATTGATTCATGGTTAAACAAAATTGAATCCTTGTTGAATATGGAATCGTTAGGTGTTCGAATCATAGGAATATAAGGAATGAGTGGTGTTGGTAAGGCAACCATTGCTAGGTTGTATGTTACAAACTTCGTTCCAATTTGAAGGCATCTTTGTTCCAAACCTTAGGGAAGAATTAAAAAGACGTACAATGGTTGAACTAAAAAGAAGCTTTCGTGTACAACTACTAGAGGAGGAAATTATGAATATAGACCCTCCGATTACAAGAATTCAGCGTAAGGAAGTTTTCATTATTCTTGATGATCCGGGTAATTCAACTCAATTGCAAAAACTATAAGAAATGTTTCTTAGGTGACACAATTCTTTTGGCTTAGGAATTAAAATTCTTGCAACAAATAGAGACAAGCAAGCACTTGAGAATATGGTTGATGAAATATATGAAGTTGAGAGGTTGAACCACCATAAAGCATTTCACCTCTTCGAGTTGAAAGTCTTTGAAAATTACAACATCATAATTATTCTTAGAGATTTGTTAGAAAGGAAGAGTAGGGTATGCATAAGGTAACCCTTTAGCTCGAAACTTGACTTTCGACTCTTAGTCTTTTCTTTAATTTCATCTTTTTTTACCAAAACCTCATTTTTCATAGGCTTTAGAATGATTTTTACTCCATTAAATTTAAAAATAAAATAATGTGTTCTTGAAGCAATCATATATAGTTTGCCTATCAAATTGCCATAGTTTGCATAATAAGATTGACATTAAAGCCATCATATATAGTTTGCCTTTCGAATTTTCATGGCCTACATAACAAGATATAACATACATCTATGGAGATTATAGAGATTACATCACACCACACTTCATCTTCGTACTTTTTACCAATTGAAATTGGCATAAGACATCTCTTAGAAACCCTAAACTCATTCTTCTTACATAGCCACATCATCTTTCACAAATTTGTATGATCAATGATTGGTAAGTTCAACTTCTCCAACATTATCATTGTAAAAACATTCTCACAACTACCTTCGTTAATGATCACCTCGCACACTTTTCCATGAGAAATGCAATGAGTGTGAAAAATATTATGTCTCAACCAATCCTCCTTTAAAGCTATATTCAATACCCTTAGGATCATTTATGATTCTTTAACTCAATGTGGTTGTTTCATCTTCAGCTCTAATGTTAAGTTGACCCAAATCTATAAACACACAATATTACCGAACGCACCAACACACAAGCACTTTAATACGAAAACCAAACAAGTAATATATTTGGCAATATCAATCTAAGAACCATAAATATCAAAGTATTCATGTATTGTTCCATAAATAATCTCAATTCACAAATAGCTCAAAACCCAAAACAAACATAAGCTCGAATCAAGCAAACCCGAAAAACAAGTTCAACCTAAATTTTTGTAAAGGGTTAAAACCTATACTTCCCTTGAATATTAATTCTAAAATTTTAACCACTCCTAGTTAAGGTATTGATAAAGTTATGGTCCAAAATTCAGATCAATGTGATAATCCTAGCCCCTCACTCAAGAAAGATGAAATTATCAAACAACAATATTCAAAGAGCCGAATCCTAAATCAATTAGGATCAAACCAAAACTTAGATGAACAAATTACAAGATATAACAATTTTTAATTATCATTAGTAATAAGGCATAGATATCAATACTTATATGGGATATATAGCTTACAAGTTAAACACCCATGTACCTTATAAGTTAAACACACAGATTATCAAAACGCCATCTTGAATGATCAAATCAAGGATAAGTAATCACACTCTTATATGAAAAAAAAAAAAAGAAGTAAGAAGAGATAAATACTGAACAAACTCTAGCCACATACAACTAATTAAGATAATAATAAAACTCTAAATAAAGTCTAAATTGGAAAAGAACTCTAAATAAGAAAAAAGAGTAAAATAAAATCCTAAATTAACAAGGACTAATTGACCTAACTCAAATTATTATGGACATTTTAAATAAAAATAAATTCTTATTTAATTATGGATACACTATAATTATGGAATCCTAATTAAATATGGATCCAAACCCAATAAAAATTAAAATAAAATTCAATTAAAAATAAGGATATTTACGTAAAAAGAATAAATAACATAACTAATTAAAATAAATAAGACTCAAATATTTCAGTCTCAAAATTCATCTTAAAATTCTTGCCTTCAAGTCCACATACACACTCCCATATCATTAGGACAAACTAAGAAGAAAGGATGATTTACTATAACAATTGGCATTAATCGGTGTTCATATATGTAGAGTCTAAGCATCCCGGTAAATGCATGTAGCAGGTTGTATGATGCGAGATGACATCTCTTATGTATCGAAGAAAAAGAAGGTAAACTAAAGTCATTAACTATTTTACTTCTCTTTTGGGATATATTTATCACATGGCATTACAAAATGGTTATTTATTCTAGGTCTTAAAGATCATCAAGTTTTCTAGGTCTCATGGGATATCATATTTTTGAATTTAAATGGGACTCATTATAGAAGATGCATTTATAAGATAAATTAAATAACCAAACATGTAAGCATAACAAAAATTAATAAAATACATAAAATTTATGAGAACTTTTATGATACTCAAAGAATAACTAGTATAAGTTATTCCATAGAAAGAGGTAAACACAAAAGGAGAGAGAAAAATAAAAAATAAAAATTGAAGCAAACGTGGAAATCTTCTTATCATTTTTTGTGGATCCGGATATGATTCTTTTATTTTTTATGTGTTTGTCTCTTTCCTCAAAAGTGAATCCATGGAATAACTACTGCACATGTACACTAGTTACTCATTGAGTATTATAAAATTTCTCTACAATTTACTATGATTGATTGATAATTAAAAAAAGCTTGTGTCATCTAAAGGAAAGAGAACTTTAAGGGAGAGAGAACTTTCTAGTATATGCTAATATTTTAGGTGTTGTTTGGTAATAAAAAATAAAATGATGGGAATGAAAATAAAAATTTTATTCTTTTATATGTGTTTGGTTGAAAAAAATAAAGTAGAAATAAGAACGAAGAGCGAGCATAAGAATAAGAATAAAAAATAAACCTAGATGCATTCTTATAAGGAAGGTAGAATAAAAATAAAAAATGAGAATGAATTTTTTTCTTCAAAATAATCATATATTATTTTTATTTAGTATCAACTACTTCTAGCACCACCACTTCCATTAGTGGTGGTGACAAAAAAATATTATTATTATTATTATTCTGCCATAACTCTACAACCACATGTTAGTATAAGTATCCAAGATCTAATATTGTTTAGATGATTTGATGTATTGCAGCATTGTATTTTAATATTAATAAAGAAGTCTTTCTCTTAATTCTTGTTATTTATAATTTTATAGAATTAGATAGAAGTCCATATGATATGCATTGTATTAATGATTGATTGAAAGATGTGAGATAAACATTAATGTACTTAAATGATATTATTAAATGTCTCAAGTTGTAGCATTATTAAGAATGAACATTGACTACATGTAGTAAAACTTGTGAGTGTTATGCTCTTTCTATTAGCTAATAGTAAGAGATCTCATATTTGTTGATATGGTGATGTCAAAACAAGAATTTAAGTGATTAATGTTAGAAAATATATCACTAGACGTGACTCGCCATGAGAACCCATTTGGTTTAGCTATAATAATCTCATATGAGATGGATACAACTGGTCATTTGACTTGAAGTCATTATAGTTATCTCATTAGAGGAATTAAGTATTTTGACATTCATTTTGATGGGCTTAGTAAAGAACTATATGTGGGCGATTCGTTAGATGCATTAGAAATTTAATAGAGATAGGTAAATGACGAGAGATAAGGCATGTTATTTCTTCTATGCTAAAGGAGTTATCACATTGCACTTCGATGAATGTCCGTTCAAGGAATCTGTGGCTATAGTGGGAGTATACTAATAGAGCATAGCTGGTTTACTTTAAAGCTAAGATATTTAGGAATCAAAGAAAACTTGTGTGATCATAATAGAATAGATAATAAACCAAGTTCGAGATCACACTATAATAAATTGACATAAGAATTGAATCGTATGGAAACTATTCTCATAAAAGATAATTATGAATTAATTAATCCTCATAGAGAATTGGATAGTCATAATGTATTGCTAGAGGCTAATCTTGATTTATATATCAAGAGATAAAACAGTGTCTTTTATCTTTTTGATACATTGCTAACATATCTAAGAGCTTATTGAGTCACACGCATAAAGTTTAAACATTCACATGATAAAAGGGAAGCAAAGGTTATTGGAAAAAGTTTCCTATTTTGTAAAGTCATTTTTTTATTTCAGAAATCGATTTTCTAATTTGAAAGTTAGTTCCAAATTTGAAAGACGATTACTTAAAAACAATTAGTTTCCTAATTTAGGTTTAAGGGTAATTTAGAAAATTGTTTCCTAATGTAGACCACACTAAAATACTTGATCCAATTTATTTGGATGATCCAAATTAATTGATAATTAATTGGGCTAAAAAATTTTAAGCCAATAGATTTAATTTAAAAGCCTATAAGATATTTTAGTAAAGGGATAAACTTGATCACTATTAGATAAAGCTCGGGGTTTACAAGCATAAGATCAAACAAGCCCATACTTGTTGCAACTCTTTGTCCTTACAGGACAAGGATAGTGCAACTCCTTCTCCTAATGGGACATAGATGCTGCCCCTATACATAGAAGAAGAGAGAGAGATGGCTATGATAATAAAAAATAACATAAAAAAGGGAAAAAAGTTATCACACAAAATGAGGGCAATAGTTGTCGTAAATCTCTCTCTCTCTTTAGGGTTGTCGCTAAAAAAAAAAAAAACAACCTTGATTGATTTCTTCGGAGAGAAAATTTATACACAAAAAGATTGGAGCTAGTACTCTACAAGTTTTGTTACTTCTTATGTGAGTATTTGAGCTGAGTAGATAATCAATAGAGACTAAACACTTAGATGATTTTCTTTACGCATATATTGTTTCGTGCTACAAGAAGTAATCACTCACTACATTTCTATTCATTTTTATGTATAATTAGTTGATTCAAAGACATGATATTGAGAGCTTTAGATGGAGAAAAATAAAAAATTTTATTTATTCTACACCTCTATAAGATGTATGATCCTTCACCACCACCGCCGCCACTATAATTGACGGCGATAGTAAAAAAAATTTTAAAAAAATAAAACTATTATTGTTATTAGTCTATCACCACTTCTCCTTCTTCACTATCATTACTTTATTATACCACCATCACCACCACCATTGACGATGATGATAAAAAAAATAAAAAAAATTATTATTATTATTATTATTATTATTTTGTCACCACTCTTACTCTATTATCACTATCACTTTTATTATACCACTACCATCACCACCACTCATTTTTCACTAGGTGGTAGTATCAAAATTTTTTAATATATTATTTATATTATTATTTTCTATTACTATCACATTCCTCCTTTCTTACTCCTCCTCTCCACCACAATCATTACCATAATTAT